AAAAAGAAGAAGAAGAAATCAAACTTTTCTGCACTTACAGAAAAAAAGATCAGAAAATGTTTACAGTGGGAAGTTTATCTTTCTCCTTTTCCAAAATAAAAACTTCATTTTAATGCACTTAACAAACGCAGTTCTTTGTTCCTGTGGCCCTGAAAGCATTATTCATATTCTAAGGAGAAACAATGAAATGTGAGCTTTAATGAACATGCGCTCCTTTAAAAACAGGTTCAGCTTTGGTTGCCCCCTCTTCCTTCACTCATGAAAATCTGTGTGTGTCTCTGGCCGTTCAAGGGGACGCAGCTTGGAGCAATTAGAGAGTAGAAAAAGCCCCTCAGTAGTCTCCAGCCAATGGACCCAGTGATGCCATTTCTTTCTCCAACCACACTAGAGACACAGAGCCATCTGTGGCCCTATTACACTCAGTCCAAACCCAAAGAGTGGTACTTGTCACTGACACGAATGGAAAATGGAAGAAAGGCAGCAGAGACGCACATTTCTACAGAAGCTTTGTTGATGGATCGATTAGAGTTTGAATCGTGTAAAGCAGCTTGTGCACAATTAGTGAAATGAGTGTGCGCAGAATCAAATCTGCTCCCGAAGAAGCGGGACCGGTTAGATTGAGAAATATTCAGATTTAATATGTATTTACGTAAGATTTTCTGCACACTTTGCTGTCTGCTGGCAAGCTAAAAGCCTGTACGTAGGCAGAAATAGGCCGCTTGAGCAGGTCAGACTCCCCGTCTCCCGTGTCTTTCCTTCTGAAGTCTCTCTCCTTCCTCTCCCTCTCTCTCTCTCTCTCGCTCTCTCTCTCTCCAGGCGCTGCTGTGCCATCCTACACATTCATGCACCCTCCCTTCCTCTTCACTCCTCTCTCTCTCTCGCACTCCCTCAGCCGTTCCCCAGCTGGGAGAGGGTTAGTCAACTGGACGCCCATCCCGCTGATCTGCGGGAGCCCCATGGGGAGTTGCCATGGCAACCGTGGCCGATGAAGACAGGGAGTCGCCGGCAGGCTCACATGGTTGTCATGGTACTCGCTCTGGCTACGGAGGTGGGAGGTGCCACAGGCCACACCTCCCTCTACCCTGTCTCCAAAACCCAGGAAAGGCTGCGGCGCGTGTTGAGTGTCTGCCTGTGTGTGTGTGTGTGTGTGTGTGTGTGTGTGTGTGTGTGTGTG